AAGTAAAGAAAATAAAGGTGAATTGTCAGAATCGTGTCTTTGAGTTAATAGAACCAAATACATTTTTGGAAGATGCTAAATTCAGACATAAAAATGAGGAATATTAGCAAGAGCGAATGGCTTTGCGATTCTTCAGAAAGTTGTGGTGGAACTCGACTTTGCCTTAATCAGGCCTAACTCAAGAACCTGTTCAGTACCGCTTTGTGATCTCTAACTGTCATACAATAATAATACTTCTCGAAGAATATGCTGATTTGCAAAAACTGAGAGAACTTTCCGAATCTAATAACATTTCCGATGTTAAATACTAAAACGAGCAGAGATCTGTTACAGGACAACTTGTTGCAATGTAGGCTTTAGTGGATGTGAAAGAAGCAAGAAAAAAATCACCGATTCGTCTTCTTAGAAAATCGAATTCGATTTTCCAACTATTTAGAAAATCGGTGTCGAATTTCAAGAATGTTGGGATTTATTTATAGAAAATCAATCGATTCTCTAAAAATTAGAAAATCGCCGTCGATTTTCCAACTTTTTAGAAATTCCTTATCGATTTTCTGGCAAATGAGAAAAGTCAATTCATAGAAAAGCGAGCGGATTTTCTATAAAGTAGAAAATCAACATTTTCTAAACAGTCAGAAAATCGCTGAGGATTTTATAAAAGTTGGAAAATCCTTCATCGATTTTCTATAAAGTAGAAACTGATTCTAAATTACAGTGTATAAAACAAAGTGGTTAACACACACACTTACATCTACCGTACATTTGTAACCTTCTTTTCTTCTTTGGTTAACTGCTTATTTCCCGATCGGGATGCACTGAAAAAAAAAAGGTTTCGAGAACTGAAACCATTTCTAAACCCTTTTAAAGGTTTCGTAGGAATGTACGAAACCCTTAAAAGGATTTATCAAGGACCTGGGAAACCTTTTTAAGGTTTCGTAGATTTCCTACGAAACCTTTAAAAAGGTTTAGAAATGGTTTCAATTCTCGAAATCCTTTTTAAGTTTCGTAACGTCTACGAAACCCCCTTTAAGTTCCGTATCGTACCTTTTTTTTTTTCAGAGTATAAATTCGACTAAAATTCGTTGAAAAAATTTTTATTCGAAAAATGGTTACTGGGTGCTTGATGCACTTTTAATCAAACACAGCAGAATCCGATGTAGTTTTTCGAGCTCTTTCTAATGGTGAGGTCAATTTTTCCTTAATCGTTTCTACGACGAAATTTTGTGTTTTATATCCCGACCGAAATTTTAATTTTTTTCTATATCCTGATCGGGATATACATCCCTATCAGGATATAGGAGGTGTCCTCTTACTGATGGAATTCAAAGGTTTAACCTGAGTTTACCTTGTTTCAACGATGCTTTTTTGTATCTTAAGATATCAATTCGCTATATTTAAAATGCTTTGTGAATAAATACCTTTTAAACAATCTAATAATTCTTGGAGATGTACTTCATTATGACTTTGAGATGGATCAGCGGTTGCTCTTTTTACATAACTTGATAATAATGTTATATCCTTGTCGTTGTTGTATAAATACCTTCAATCCAAATTTCTGCTAACATTATTAATGAATGAATCTGAATACGATCATTCTTCAAGACAACAGATTTTGTATAGATTTCGATGATATTTGGTTTTTTTCTGATGTATTCTAATAATACTGGAACACGTGACAGATTATTGATAAGTGACATTCCTGAATCGTGTAACATCGTTAATTGGTCATTATCTGTTTTTGTTTTATCAGGTAGCCAATGTATCTCCAGCGTTTTTACGAGAAAATCAACTATTATTCTGTACAAATCATGATTTGTGATTTCGACAGTATGATATCAAAATTATCATAAGATAATTCATGTATAATACTTGTGATTTATACCATGTGAAACATGTAGGCTTTATATTTGAAAATATTGTTTTAAAATTTGTTTCTGATATTAATTGGTTGCATAGATCTTTCTTCTGTTTTCCAGAATATGTAAGTAAGTAGGACGGACAACTTTCTAATACAAAGTTTATGTAAGATGGTTGTTGATTACCTTGTTAATCAACGGCCTGCATAAACATGCTGCTAAAGTGCACACTATACATTTTTAAAATTGCGGCGGATAACATCAATAAATTTAGATCATCCATTATATCATCTCTTGATTGTTGAAAGTAGCCCAACAAAGAAACTAACAGAATAAAATTATCGTTAAACTTTTCTTTACTCCTCACTGTGGCCAATGTCATATCCTTAATACAATTCATGAACAATTCTAAGAACGATTTCTCTAAAAGCCATACTTTAAATAACTGATACTGCGCTTCTGTTAAGGTGGTTTTGACCATATTATTTAATAAACTAACTGTATTCGACATAATATTCAATTCTTGTTCATTGACTGATTTTACATTTGTACGCCATTTTAAGAAGATACTAGTGAGCGTATCACGTATATTTATATATAGTTCGTGTGGTAATATTGATGGATCCGTTACTACTGACGCTCGATGTGCTGATAATTCGTTCAAGGCCACGACTACTTTCTCAATGAGAAAGAGTGTTTCGGGCCCTCTCGTTGAGTATTGTGCAAATTCTCTGAGAAACGTATTATATAATTCTTTTAACCAAGCACTATTGATCCTTGCTTTGTTTTTAACTATACCATTACAACGCTCTTTCATCAATGCCACTGAATCCCGAATATCTTTTGCTAAACTCATCCTTTATCCAGTAGAAATGATTTAAAAAATCACAAATATAAAGCAGTAAAAAGGAACGTTAATATGATTTATGTTGTTCTCACCTCCTCTTTTCCTTATTTTTCTTCTCTCTTCCTTAATGTTCTTTTCGTTTTCGTGCGTCAAAATACATGCTCACATGCATCGAATGGTACAAGTGCGCGAAACAGCATTATGTGTATATATCGGAGTTGAGATTGGAATCTAGGGGAATTCGGAATTCGCCTAGGTGAGAATAGAATTCTAATTTCAACTGACTGAGATTGGAATTCTAACGTCAACTAGTTGTAATACGAATGGTGCCTCACTGAACTAGTTGAAGTTAGACTTCTAAACCAAACTGGACGAGATCAGAATTCCAATATGACTGACAAACTGGATATTAGTTGAGTTCAGAATTTAAATTCATGCTAAGAAATTGCATAGGAAAGGGAGAAGGAAAAAATGTGACG